CCTAAGTTCCTCCGGCTTGCTCGCCCATTGTTGTCATCACAAGTCAGCTTGCTCCTTGGGGTTTGGATGCTTCTAGGATCCCAGTCCCAAGTCCCAAGTCCGGTCACAAGAGGATTCACATACTCTCCACTGAATAAGTGTTGCTGGCAGGCTTCCACAGTTTTTGCTGAAGATGTCCTGTAGCTGTAACATGATGTAGGATTGGACCACTGGATAACAAAGAAGGGAAAGGGTCGCCTTAACGGACCCCAAAGCGCAAGAATCTGAGCTAAATTTGTTAGCTCAGGAAAGTATAAGTTGCCACTTGGCATTTGTTCAAAATCTTTTATTGTATTATACAGATTACATTATGTTGTGTATTTTTTATGTTTTGTTTAAAGGTACACACAGAAAGGTCTATAATACAAAAAGAAAACATTGAAATTAAAGGTATAGACCCAGATATTTAATTCTATTCCATACCTATCCTATTCACATAAGCGCTGCACCGATACTTTTTCTTGTTCTGCTTCTAGGATCCAGTTGGGTACCAAAACCGCTGGAAGGCCCAATGATCTCAGGGACCGTGGGACATCGTTTTACCATCGCAGTACATGCCAAGTGTTATCCTGTCTTGCCTGCAAGCTAAATGGGAATACCCATCAGTATGGAATGCGGTGTTCTTGCAGATCCCTAGTTAGTGGTCTCAGTGCTTTTCTGGCTTCAAGAGTAAGGACTGACAGGTTCTGGTAGAGTGTGATCTGCGCATCCATATATGGGTAGATTGCAGTGGTTGGGTAACCTGAATAATAGCATCCTTGAGCCTAAAAGAGCGGAAACAACAGATAATGTCCTGTGGCAGACCATCCCATCTTGGTGGCCGAAAGACCCTGTGTGTTCTTTCTAGTTTGAAGTTGGCTGGAGTGTCATCTCCAAGTATTTGCGTAAACAGGCACTTAAGTACCTCCATAAGGGGTTCCCCCTCGGTCTCAGGCAATCCCCTGAAGCAGATGTTAGTCAGCCAGCCCTGGTTATCCAGGTCCTTGACCTGTCTATGGAATTCCAGGAGCATGAAGCCTTGTCTTGAGATGGTAAGCTCCGCAGACTGCTGGCAGTGGGTTAACTGCTGGCAATCTGTTTCCAGGTCTTCCACCCTAGATTCTAGGGCTGTAAGGTCAAAGCGAAACTGCATGATCTTCTCCCAGATAACAGAGTGCAGTTCCGCCACCATAGCTTTCCAGTCCTCATGGGTGAGCACGTTAGCTGATATGGAGGCCGAGTCCGCTGAGAACAGTGTCAGGGTGTCTTCTTTCACCAATCCCGACATTATTTCTCCAACACTATCAGAGCTCGGGGAGGCTGCTGCCATCTTGTCTGCATGCCTTGTGTCTTGTAAGCCATTGGGTGTAGCCAGGTAATCGTCCATGTGACCTGTAGTCTCTCTAGGTGAGTCTACTCCAGATTCTACAGGGGTCTGCACCTTCCTGTTTCTCCCCATATTCAGCTTACAGGTGCTGTGTATTTAGGGGCTTTGTGAGCTGGAGCCGCAGAGCTCAAGCCGTGTGCATCCTACTCAATCAGCAAGCAGGCCACACCCCTCTGCCCCCTGACTTAATCCTGAATAAAGCCCAATCTTCACTGGAGAGATTTCAATACTTTCAAGTACAATCAAGGACCTGTGCTCAACTCAAGAATGAGTGCTCAAGCAATTTTGGTACTATAATATAAACCAAAGAATGCAAATATACCATTAAGAGAATACACCTTGTGACACAGTGAATAAATATGAATACAAATGTATACTGGATAAAGTTGATATCATAAATCAATACAGAGTGCCACCTCTCGTAACCCAGGAATTACCCTGTAGACAACTAGTACCATACTGGAGAAATATCCATGCCACAATCAAGGACATAAGAGATAAAGCCCTACCCTTTCAACCCCTACCAATGCTTCTGCACCAGACAAAATTACCTTCTGTCCATAAGAATCTTTGATGAAACATCTCGTTAACACAGCCATATCCCTAATTGAAGATTGAAGAATTCTATGATATGGAAACACTCACAACATATCTACAGAAAGCGAAGCGCAGACCTGGGAACCCTGGCGAAAATACATGTCCAGACTCGAGCTCAATAAAAGAACACAAATACTCTACACTTCCAGTCCATATGCAGACTTAAGC